GCTGCTCGAAGATCTGGCTGACAAAGGGCATCTAATCATAGGTTGTGATGCCAACGCACACCACTTCCAATGGGGTAGCAACGATACCAACGTCTCAAAATTTGTAATAGGGGCAATGATGCAACATTCCAAATCAAAGACAGGGCAGAGGTCATTGACCTCACCCTAACTAACAAGGATGAATCCCTAATACAAGACTGGAAAGTCTCTCCTGAGTGCTCGTTTTCAGATCACCGGAAGATAGTTTTCAAAGTCTTAGTAGATGGTATTCCTCAAAAACCACATAGGAATCCAAGAAAGGCACATTGGGACAAATTTACGGAGCTGGCTACACCCAGGCTTCACTGTTTCGACAACATGGTCTTAACCTCAACCCTCGATATAGACAACTCCGTAAATGCGATAACGAGTGCTTTGATTGGTTGCTATGAAAAAGTCTGTTCGCTAACCTACCCAGGGAAGAAATGTCAACCAGTTTGGTGGTCAAAGCATTTAGTCAACTTAAGGAGGGACAATAGACGACTTTATAATAGGGCCAACAAGACCAAACTACGTACTGACTGGGATGCCTATAAGGCATCCTTTAACAAGTACAACAGTGAGACCAAGAAGGCCAAGCGCACATCTTGGGTATATTTCACGGAGTCGATTGAAAGTGTCAACGATGCCTCCAGATTTCGTAAAGTCCTTTCGGAGGATCCTAAATCCATAGGAAGTATAAAACGGACTGACGGCACATGGACTGACTCTGGACTAGAGACTCTTAACCTGCTAGCCAACACACACTTCCCAGGCTGTATCGACGCTGCAAGCAATCGGCAAACCGATCAAGTGCATCGTGATCATACGGCTAGTGAACAAAACTTGGCTAACAGAATAATAAGCATACCCAAAATCAAATGGGCAATAGATACATTCAAGCCTTTTAAATCTCCAGGACCAGATGGTATTATTCCCGCTATGATACAGCGTGTCTCAGCGTCATTATCCCCAATACTGGGGGAGATTTTCAAAGCTTGTCTGTGTCTATCCTACATTCCTGAAGCTTGGAGAGAAGTCACAGTTACTTATATCCCCAAAGCGGGGAAACCGAGTCACTCACTTCCCAAGGACTATAGACCAATAAGTCTCTCATCCTTTCTATTGAAAACTTTGGAAAGGCTGATAGACATAGAGATCAGATCTCTAGTACCCAAGCAATGCTCAACATGCCTATATGAAAGGTAAGTCTGTTGAAACAGCGCAACACGATGTCGTAGGGTATATAGAGAAGAACATGAATGGTTCCTTATTCACCTTGGCTGCGTTCCTCGATATTGAGGGAGCATTTAACAACGTCATGCTAGAACCCATTCATAATTCCTTATCAAAACTTAAAGTACCCCAACTCCTCATAGACTGGATTGATACCATGCTTAGCAGCAGAATTATCAACTCGAGCATTGGGGAAATATCCGCCAGGAAATCGGTCACGAGGGGCACTCCGCAAGGGGGTGTCCTATCACCATTACTCTGGCTTTTGGTCATCAATAATATAATTATGGATCTAGAGGTAACAGGAACAAAAGTATTCGCATACGCTGATGACGTCGTCCTATTAATCGCCGGGAAATTCCTGCAAACAATCTCGGATCTAATGCAAGGAGCTCTAGTCACCTTATCACGGTGGGCGCGTCGCAATGGACTAGGCGTGAACCCATCAAAGACAGAGCTCGTCCTTTTCACTAAAAGACGTAAATACCCTACATTTACACCACCGAAACTAGATGGAGTCAGTTTAAACCTTTCGCTAGAAGCCAAATACCTTGGCACTATCCTTGACCACCGACTAAGTTGGAAGAGGAACACCGAGGAACGAGCTAAGAGAGGCTTAAGTGCACTCTATTCCTGCAAGAATTCTATAGGCAAGAGCTGGGGCCTCAAACCGCACATCATCAAATGGATGTATGAGTCAATCGTTCGCCCCATTCTTACCTATGGATCTCTAGTATGGTGACATTCTTTGAAGAAGTTAACTTATCTACGACATATTAACAAAGTTCAACGGGCCGCATCCTTATTAATAACGGATGCCTTCAGGAGCACGCCTCAAGCAGCACCGGATACTCTACTGGGTCTAGGCCCACTGAATTTATATGTGGAGGAACAGGCATCCAGGAGTGCTCTTCGACTCAGAGAACTAGGTGAATGGCGCAGTCAACCCTTTAGACATTCTGCGATTCTAAGGCGTGTAAGGAATGTGGGAGAGACAGACTTTGCAAGTGACTATATTTCACCACGACTAAGCTTCTACCCACCTGACATACACATACCTGACAGAGACGCCTGGGCTCAAAACAACCCACCTTTCCGCGGCATAGCTGTCTATACCGACGGTTCAAAGATGGAGTGTGGAACGGGAGCTGGTGTCTTCTGTGATACTCTTAAAATTCGTGAATCCTACAAGCTTGGAAACAACTGTAGCGTTTTCAGGCGGAAATCATTGCAGTCAAAAAGGCCATTGACCTGCTGGCCACGAGGAACATTGAAGTCAGTAGTCCGGTGACTATATATGTCGATAGTCAAGCGGCACTGAAGGCCTTGAGTTCCTTCACAATCAAGTCTAGGGCTGTTTTGAAGTGCAGGGAAGCCTTGGAAAACACTGGGTTGTCCATCAAGCTTTGTTGGGTTCCTGGACATTTTAACGTCCCAGGTAACGAGACTGCAGACGAACTGGCCAGATTAGGATCCGAATCAACTACAATTCAAGTAGACAACTCGGTTAAACCACCACTGTGCCATTTCCTGCAGGTTATTCACAAACACTACTCTGAGAAGATCCAACAAAAATGGCTGGATGAAATTGGTTGTACCATCCCCAAACGAATCTGGCCCACGCTCTCGGAGAAGAGAACAAGGTCGCTGATGTCATTGTCAAAACCTGATTTAAAACTCGTGGTGGGCATCATCACAGGTCACTGTAAGGTGAGGGCTATGACATCGAAATGGGACAGCGACGGCATTGACTACTGTAGGATCTGTCAAGATGAAGAAGAAATCGAGACAATCGAACACTTACTCTGCCACTGCCCAGTACTCATTAATGTGAGGTATAGGCTAGTGGGAGAACTAGTGTCACACGACTTGTCGTCTTTTTCTAACACTGACCCAGTAGTAATACTTCAACTAGCCAGAAGACTCAAGTGGCTAAAGACGACACGGCAAACTCCTCAGCCGTAGATTCTCACTCTACTACACTATCCCTTATCTTCATCTTTTTTATCAATCACTTTTTCTTCTATCTCTCAAAACTCTTTTCTAGGATGAACACAATGGACCTATAGGTCTCCGAGTGGAGCGGTTGCCATATGGCAATCGCGCGTCCCTTAACCTAACCTAACCTAACCTAGGCATATAACGTGGGGCACAGCTATTTAACGGCGGAATGTACACGTTGAGCTCCTCTACCTCGGCGGTTCCACACTTGACCGCTACCCCCATACATTCCATGTACGGGTCACTAGAGTCAAGCTCAGGCGTGATAGGTCTGTACTAGACAGATTGGTGCAATAGGAACGCTAATCATCCACCTCCACCCCTGGAGCGATCCTTCCTCAGTACGTTGTATCCATCACAACTTTGAAGCCTGCAGGTGGTACTCAACTTCATTTCCTGGATCACTGCGACCTTGATGTTCTTCCGACTCATGAAGTTTACGATTTCGTTAATCTTACCTCGTAGACCGTTACAATTGAACTGGAGAAATGACGCATTATCCGGAACTTGAACACCAATGTGTGGCGTCAACTGCTGCATAAATTGCTGTTGAGGAGATTGCGGTGGAGTCTCATATTGCGACGATGATAAGGACGCCAAAGATGAAGACTCACTGGGGTCTACATTGACGCATCAGGAAGCAATGTAGTCCCTTGCGCTGTACTCCTGTATCCGATTTAAGTCGGAACAATTCCGAAAATGCACCTACTCCATGTATCCGTTGCATCTCACCGAGACCGATCTGTGGTGGATGCGATTACGACAAACGGTGCAGAACCATGGTCTGGGGTTGGTCTCGATGCCGGCTCGGACAAAGAGAAAATGGAGCAAACATTCCGGGTAATGTTGCTCCCACATCAGAAATATGGACGAGAGATTTGTACCTTCGAGTCAATCCGGTACATAGAACCGGCCGCCGTGGGATTGGGGACTATGGTGGATTAATTTGGTGGCAGTCTCTGGGCAGGCTTCCCTCAGTAAAAACATATACCAAGTCCAAAGAGTAGCATCTCTATTAATTACAGGTCCACTTAGAAGCACACCTCAGTGCCTTGTACACCCTCCACAACTCGAAACACTTAAGTCTATTTGTAGAGGGACAAGCAGCGAGATGTACACTAAGACTCAAGGAACTTGGCCAATGACGTAGTCAATTATTCGGAAATTCGTTCAAACTCAATAAAGACTGTAGTGTATTCCCGGCAGAAATCTTTGCTGTCAGTGAAGCCGTAGAATTGCTGATAAATCGAACAGTTGAACTGAACGGCCCTGTGACTATATATGTCAATAGTCAAGCGGCGCTAAAAATGCTAAATTCATCCACCATCAGATCTATGGTAGTTCTGAATTGGGCTTAATCACAGATCACTGTAATCTGTGAGGGCTATGACTTCTAACTGGGGGAGGCTGACGATACTGACTATCAATAATTCTCCAGCACGATAAACTCATCGTGGATACTCTTTATCTCTAAAACAACCTTTATTTCTGTCCATTTCTTTTCCTTTCACTCTAACTAGGATGAGAGGAGCGGTTGCTTAAGCAACTACGCGTCCTCTAACCTAACCTACTAAAAGTAAAATGCCAAAAATATAAATGGGAACATTTATTTAATATGATGAGCCATATTTTCAATACGTATGTGTTTCTTTCAACCATTATTTGGGTTATGGAGCTTGTACTGCATTTAGAATTCTTGGTTTTTTATGTTAATAGTACACAATCAACGAAAAATGTATACATACGTTCAGCTGGTTTTTCTTCATTTCCAATTTCTGTCGCAAATCCATTAAAGGTGACCTCGATGTACTATCCTCGTTTACATATGAGTTCTTACTTGTCTGGTCTTTCGATGCATCGTCCATTCCATTTGTGCTTTCATCGTCAACAGATTGTTTGCTGTTGTTGTACTGTGATCCACGCTTCTCACTTTCTAAGTCGCTTACATCACTAAGGTCTTCATGACTTAAATTCATTTCAGATGCACGATTATGGTGTTCTTCACTATTATTCCGACTGGGACTGGAAGACGTACTCGAACCCCTTGTGCTCCTCATTGGAGAAATAGACGATTGTTTATCGACACCCCTTTCACTTTCTCTGGGAGATCCTAAAGTCTGAGCGTTCTCAAACTTATTTCCTTCATCGTCTTCATTATCACTACTCGATGATGAGCACGAATCTGAATCTGATTTTGAGTTAGACCGTTGCGACCCACCATTCAAAGATCCCGAATGTCGGGACTGCCTACTTCTTGAGCTACTAGCAGGGCTTGCTGCAGACACGTTTAATTCGTTGACTATCTTTTTTTCGTCAGAGTTGTCAAGATGAAGCGATTGTTCAGAGTTTGAGGATGAATTGGTTGGGGAAGATCCCGGTTGTGAGTCCTCAGAGTCCATTACGATGGCTTCTAGGAAATTTCACCAATGTACCTGGTAATTATTAATAAGTATATATGAAGTTAAAAGTGTATTTCTAGAGTTAACTTTGTTAAAATGATTGATATTAAGTAGAATCCTTAAAATACATTCATTTGAATTCTAAGTACTTGTAGGACTTTTTTGCCAAAAAGCAATCTCATATCAGACAAATTAGGTTGAAAATTTTGACTTTTTTTCTCAAAAAAATTAACATTTACCTTTAATGTCCAAAATAACACTTACTTCATTTAAATTTTTCAAAAAGTTCACGCAAATATATATAAATCCAAAACAGAAAGTGTCAAGTTTTGAACATTTCATGAAAAGTCACATATTCTATAAAAAAAAGTAACATATTGATCATAGAAATCAATGAACAACCCCCGTTTTGATCCATAATTAAGTGCAGGTATCGAGCGGCAAATCGGGTGTCAATGTTTAAAAATTACAAAACCATGCATGGTACGGTACCTTGGTGCCCCTATTCTGTCAAAACATATACACAGTTTGTATATTTGAATAAAAAATAATATAATAAAAAAAAGAAAATTTAGAGACAACAGAAATGCATATTTCCCACGTTAACTTGCAACAAAATGTATAATTTTGGGATAAAGCAATATTGTCCCTCTATCTTAAATTCAATTTTGGGGCGAAACTCCAATATTCCTTTCATGTTTTGTGGGTTTTCCGCAATAGGAAAAACACAATTTTTGTTAATATATGCTCTGTTCCACAACCTTTCCGAATCTGCTAGTGTTGCAATTTTCTTCGATATCATATAGGGAAAAACATTTTTACATTCTTGCAGTTCCGGAAAAGGCCAATAGTTGTCATTTAACAATATATTGAAATTTTTTGGTTTTGTTTTCATTTTTGTATATATGACATTACCATAACAAATTTCTAGGTGGTTGTTGTCGAATTGCGTTTGCTGTTTTCTTTTGCGTATATCTTCTAAAAATTCTTTCATGAAACAATTATAGATTTAATTAAGTCATTCATAAAAATAGACATTAAGAAAATCTTACAATTTAGTTTTTCTTAAAACACAATTCGCCTAATACTAATATGTTCCCGTTCGATTTTCTTTTATGCCGCACTTCATCAACAGTAAAATATATAGAAAGTGAGCAAATCACAACCAACTATGATTTATAACACGTCGTGAACGTTGATCAAATCAAAGTTTCACAAGACGTATTTTTTATGTGACAATACAATGGACCAAATTATATAATTTTAAGCTTTTTCAATTTCGTTTAATGAAGTTTGTTTTCATAATCGGAAAGGAAGAAGAATTATATTTTCAAATGGAATAACGTTGGCGTTTTATTGCATGAACAACGACACACACACTGAAGCCGAGGAAATCGACAAAGCAATAAGTGGCGAGTACGTGTTACGCGAGTACGTGTTACGCGAGTACGTGTTACGTGGTGCAGTTCTCAGACTGCAAATTCAAACAACTGTTTTAGGCAATGCAGAAAAACAACCCAAAGGCACATTCATCTGCAAGAAAATGTAACTGTTTTTGAAAATTAATATTGTCAGTAAGCGAAGAGATACAATTGCACATAGTGTTTGGTTTGCTCAACACGAGCATACGAGAACATGTACGACGAAGACACGTAAATATTTTGGAAGACATTTTGTCTGTACGAAGAGAAGCAGAATTAATGATGTCAAAAAGGAAACAAAAGAAGAAAAGCAGAAGAGTGAAACAAAATCTGACCTGTTGCAATTTCTGCCGCTCAACCGGATATAGTGTTGATGGGTGAATGAAGCCCAAGAAAAGAAGTGAGCGAAAATAACAACAGCACTTACAGCAAAAATAACATCCGCAAATACCAGCTCAAATGTGCGTAGCGTTCGGCAGAGAAAATCAGCAGTTGTCTGTTATGGATGTGGTGCACCTGGAATATAAAGACACTTCATGCTGCAACAACAACAAACGCAGCCTCAACAGCTTTCATTTAATACGATTATCACGTGGACGAACTTGGTCAGTTGGGATATGACGTCTTTGATATTGGTGGTGTAAAAAAGCAGTGCAGCTTGAACAAAAGGAATATTCTTAGAAAAAATGAGGCAGTTTCCAGAATGTTTAAGCAGGTGTTAGTTTGGCAAATGGGTCATCCACACTTGAATATACAGTACGATGTTGGTACTTGAAGGATAAACCCGTTGCCCGATATTCGTTCACCAACCCATCAGATATCCGCCGTTCGCGGAAGCATAGCTGAGTGCTACTCATCGGCTTACTCAAAGTGTGAAGTGTCTTAATTACCTTATAAGAGGACAACATATGCCTAATACAGAAAAAAGCAACATTAAGAACCATAACGCATAACTCGTATTGGCAATGTTTTAACGAAAGCTGGAATTTTGTGTGGGATTGTTCCGGAATGGTATTTCGAACGAAAAATTGAAAATTCTTAGTGGAAAACTCAGAGAATTCCGAAAAGCGATCATTTGCATGTCATCGCATGGCTTGAATTAGACTATTCTAATTCTAAAACTTGGCAAAATTTAGGATTATTATGAAATTTATGCGTAAATTTCGCATGAAGAAGTGCCACCCGACATATTGTTTTATACGCTGTCTTAGATTATGTGAAGGGGTACGGTCCAATGATGCTAACAGACCTTAAACTACAACAAACTGTGGCTCATATGTTACGAGCAATGTAACATATGATGATGATGAAGAATCTTGTTCGAAATTGATCAGCATGTTTCTTTTAATGATATTTATGCGACTGACTTGATGTATGAAATTCTTTTGCGTATATTAAGTTTCCTGTCCTCCTTCGGAGAGCATAGCTGATTGCTATCGGTCTTGTCCACAGGTTGTGTATGATGGAACGCCCAATAGATATATTGGGTAGCTGCGAGTTAAATAAGTAGTCGCGGACAGCTCGACCAAATATTCGAGTGCCCGTGATACTTGGTCTCGACGAGACTAACTACTGGTGATACGTAAACCTACCCATCAGCGTTCCTCGTTTTGAAGTCAAAGTACCGACTGATACCTGATCGGCTCAGAGGCTTAGTTGACAAGTCCTTACCATCGTCTCCACCACGTCTGAATAACATATTTAGAAAAAATAAAATAAAAAACACAAAAATCACAACAACCCAATTGCTTCTGGAACAACCTCGGACCAGTCAAAGGACATGATTTTAAACTCGGGAGGAAAGGACGCGATTATAACGTACATGGACGTTATCTGCGAACGTATGCACTAGCTGAGTGAACATTTGTCTGCCCTTTTAGAGAAACCCAAAACATTGAGACTCAGTCAGAAAGAGTTGAGATGCCTCAAAAATTCGTAGGGAACACTCTCCCTGAGACCCCAGCTGCGAATTTCCGTCGGTTAATACCAATGATTCTGTCCTATATCACCAAGACACCATCGAAGTATGAGCTGGTGAAGACTCTGCCAACAACCCTACCACAGACGAAGGCGTTCACCCGAAAGAGGCTAAAGCAAATAGGGCCTATAAGAGGTCGGTCAAATACGTAAAACTTTATCAGCTGAGACCCCGCCCCGCACAAATCACGGAGGAAACATCTCGGTGGCGAGATTAAAACAAACTCCGGGAGGGTCCTCCTCTTCACCTCCCTTTACCTGTCCTATGAAAGACCCGAAAGAGCTACATCGCTGTTTATCACAGTTGTATTCAGATACACATTAATCTGTATCACTGCAAAGTGGCTGCTGCCGAAGTAAAGATAAAGTAAACATAGCCCTAGTCCAGGAACCCCATATCTACAAAAATAAGGTGACTGGGCTAGGGAGTGGGCAGAACGTCTCTTACGCCAGCTCCAATGGTGATAAGGTAGGGACGTGCATTGTCGATAAAAGGAAATGAAAGTTATTTCAGCGGAGGAAACATCTCGGTGGCGAGATTAAAACAAACTCTGGGAGGCTCCTCATCTTCACATCACTTTACCTGTCGTATGAAAGACCCGAAAGAGCTACATCGCTGTTTATCACAGTTGCATTCAGATACAGATTTCAGTCTGCCCTAGCCACCCTGTTTTGCTTAAATCTTCACGTATAGGAACAAACAGGCGTGCGCTTCGACCTGGAGAACTACAGACAAACAGGCGTGCGTTTCGACTTGGATAACTAAAACAATGACGCAGTCAATCCTATGGGCATTCTGCAATCATAGGCCGTGTAGAAATCGTAAGAGGAGAAGTCAATACAAGTGACTACATATTACCACGGTTGGACTTTGATCAACCTGAAATATACAAAAATGAAAGACCCGTGAAAAATACCATACAACTGTGTTGTGTTCCAGGTTATCACAATATACCAAGTAATGAGTAATGTGTTAATTCGTCAGCCCCGTTATTAGAGCCGAGAATTAAGAAAAAGAGAATTGTTGCGGTCATTATTTGTTGACTTTTAGCATTTGGTTCCTTGGTTGGGGTCCTAGAACTGGTCTTGCGCTTCGTTTCCAAGACATAACGGTCCATACTTGAAGGAACTTGAAGCGATACTTTCTTGTTGTGAATTTTCATCGTTTGGCGTGTTTACATTATTTTGTTTATTCGACATTTCAATTGTTTCATTTGGAGTAGTCTCACTTGAATAATTGTTGCTATGGGAAACAAGGGCTCAGAGAACGATTAGAAAATGCTCTTTCTCACAGCTATTCACGGCGATTATTTGATTGTTTTCAAGTTATCGCGAGTGATAAAATTCTGATCATCGTACAAGTATTTACAATATCTCACGAGCCTAAGCACTGTACAAAAAACTGGCAAACGATAAAATTCCGATGCAAGAGTGTTCGGTTCGATCTTTCTCTTAAATTTAACAGTCATGTAATAACAATGGTAAATAAAGCAAATGGTGTTTTAGGTTTTAAAACGATGGGCCAAAGAAATTTCTGATCCATATATAACAAAACATTTATTTATTTACGTAGTTGACCTATATTAGAATATGGTTCCGTTGTATTGGATCCTCAATATTCAATATACTCCCATA